ACATATCCTACAATGGTGGCATACATTTGTAATCACAGCTACTTGGAAGGCTGGAACAGGAGAATCGCAATGCAAGTCCAGGAAGGAGAAGGAGGAGGAGGAGGAGGAAAAAAAAAAAAAAAAAAAAAAGAAGAAGAAGAAGAAGAAGAAAAAGAAACAGTGAGTTGAAAAACAAAGGAGATAAACTAACTGGTACCCAGCACAGAGAAAGAACAAAGTGAAGGTCAGAATACGGCATGACAAGAAGTTGCAGAGGGTTGGGCTGGTGTTCCACATGCTTAAAATATAATATATGAAAAAGGCTGAGGACTAATGAGAGACACTAACCCACAGACTCAGAAGTCCAGCAGGTGCCTGGCAGAATACAAGCAACCTCCTGGCCCCCTGTAAGACCAGCAACAAGGAGAAGCAGTGTCCTTCACAGTGACACTTCACGCTACACTTGTGCTCGCTTCTTAGGAGCAGTGGGCAGAAGTCGGAGAACAGTGATGAGTTTTCTCACATTCAGCACTGAAAACACTTTCCAAACTAGAACTGCAAACCGCGGAAATCATATTCCAGAAGAATGACCAAAAACATCTTCAGATAAACAAGTGAGAATGTATCACTAAAGGAAATTCTGGAAGTCACACTTCAGATAGAAGAAAGCAAGATGCAAGAATGGGGAAGTCATACTTCAGATAAAAGAAAGTGAGATGCAAGAATGGGGAAGAAAGAGCTTCTGGGAGACGTGGACCTGTGAGGGCGGCACAAACACACTTTGCTGGTGCAGATGTGGTGACCAGCGCCCAGGCACCCGTATGGCTGTTCAGCCACATACAAGAGCACATCCACCTGCACCCAGGGCAGGGCCAGAAACTTCCAAGAGGGCTGATGGTAAATGGCTTGGTCCTCTGCCATAGCCACTCATGTCTGCTGCTACACAGTTTGGGACCTTAAAAGCAGCCACAGACACAAGGTGAATGTGTGTGTCAGGGTTCCAGTATGATTCTTATTTACGGACACTGAAATTTGAATTTCCCATCTTTCTCATATGTCAGGAAAGTCTTTTAATCTCTTTCCAACCTTTATCAAAGGAAGCCCTGTCTTGTGCGTTGGCGCTGACAGGCATAGACCAGCCTGACCCCTATCACTCCACTGCTGCATGCATGTGAGTGGCGTAAGTACCCATCCTCCAAAGAAGCACAAAAAAATGTTCAAGCATTTTCACCATGAAAGCCTTAGATTGGAAACAACCCAAATGTCCACCACTTGGGAACAGACAAGTAAACACCACGTAGCAATAAAGAACAAGCCACCTCATAGTATGTCACAGACTGAGCAATTAAGCAGAAGGGATTGTGCAATGTAGACAGTGCTGTCAGGGGGGCTGCAACTGAGGGGTGCCAGGGCCTTAGGGGTTGGGACCTTTGCCTCCACCTGGGCAGTGCCAAGGTCTGCGGGTGAAGAGAACACACCTGGGGCATCCCTGGTCAAGTTCACACCCTCACAGAAGATGAAACAGAAATGCAAAAGACCACACCAGGTAAATATGGGGGAAATTTGAGCATAAGAGTCACAGTGGTGGAAGAGAGACACCCAGCACACAACTGGACTCATAGCCAGCCTCAGCTGTGTGAATCTGCACCAGGCTGGTTTGTACCTGTTTGCACCAAACTGCCTGGGAAACAGCACCTGAGTCACTGTCAGGGCAACCACCGGAAACAAAGAAACAGCATATGGCTTTCCAACTGAGTGGAGGAAGCAAAATGATATGGGACCCTGTTAATCTAAAACAGACAAGAAGAAGAGGTGAGACAAAAAGGAAAAAAAAAAAAACCCAAAAAACCAAACAAAAATAGTGATGTAAACCCAATGCAGCTCTTTACTGTGTAAAAGGAACAAGTCCAAAATACTAAGACACAGAAGGGTGGATGTTTACAGGATGGAAAGGAGGCACCAGACAAACACACTTGCACACAAAAAGGATCATGAGCAACAGGAAGTCACCAGTCAGGAAAGAGGCCTGTCCCCAGGGAACGAGACAGTAACTCCTTCACTCCTGATGCACAGCCTCAGAGCTTGTGGCCAAAAATGAGAGGGACACTCTGTATCCTAAGGGCAGGCACATCCCCACTGCAGGTTCACACAGCCTTGCCCAGCAGGGCAGGGGAATCCAGAAAGTCACTGTCATGTGCAGCCCAGGGCCGTGGGGACTTACACAGAAAAGCTGGAGAACAGAGGCAGGAGGAGGGCTGGGGAAGCAAGCACCATACCAGACAGGGAGAACCCTTGAGCCTGAGATCTGGACAGGGGCGTCTACCTAGCTGGTCATGGGTGGCAGGTACCTGTCAAAGGGCAGGGGACTGCCCAGGAGGCTGGACACCACGGTGGTACAGTGCTGGGAAGCCAGCAGGTACACACTGTGTTGGACAGCAGGCAGGATGTGCTCCTCATGGACTTCCTGCAGTTTGGAACGTAGCACGCTCACAATCTCAGGCACCTGGGGACAGGAGAGAACAACATGGAACAGAAAAGGACAAGACACAGTGGTCAGGCCATACAGCCAGAGTGGCCCAAGGAAAACACACAGATAAGGCACAAGGGGGTAGCCCCTTAGCCTGGCTGTGTGGAAGAACTCCCTATCCTGACTGCTGGGCACTGCCAACCACCTGGGAATGAGCAGCTAAGTAGTGTCGTATCAGAATAAGACCCCAGATTCCACACGGGAAGAGACATGTGGGCTGGGGTGTGGCTGTGTTAGCACACTCAAGCACAAGACCTGGATTTGATCTCAAGCATTGAAAGAAAAAAAAGAAACAAAAGGAAAGGAAAGAAAAAAGAAAAGAAAAAAAGAAGCTAAGTGCCCTTGGGGAAATGTAGAGAAATCTCTAATCTACCTTCTGTCTCTGTGGGCCTGGGAGTTGGCATGGAGCATGGGTTACCAGGGAATGAACTCAGGGCTGACAGGGTTGCAGCTCCTTGAACTCATACACCATACCTGTGACCCAGCCTGCAAGGACCTACCTGGGCTGCCTACCTCCTCCCAGAAAGGGCAGAGGTCCGATGGACCCCAGGATACCATTTATAATGGAACCAAACCTGGGAGCAGGAAAGGGTGAGAGCTGGAGCAACACCTACCTGAGTTTGCAGGTATCCTGTTGCTACAGAAAGCAGGCAATGGGAGCACTGGGGAACAGGGGCAGGTGGGTGGAAGGACTCTGGTGCTGGCGTTCCTCAGACCCACACCAAGTCCAACGGCCTGGCTGCATAGCCCCTGACCAGCCCCCCAGCATGCTGGCCTGGCTCCCAACATGGTCTCATTCTGACAGGTACCTGTGCCCATTGAGAGTGCTGGCCCATAAGTCTCCAACTCCAGCCCCACCCATGGTGACCCCACACTGCTGAAGCTGGAAATGCTGCAGTGGTGGTGGAAGGTATCATGCTTGTGCCAGAGTAATCAGTCAGCACACTGTACCCAGGGCTGGAGTCACTTCCTGTCTGTGGCCAAAGGACCCACTAGATGATCTGTGCCATTAGAAGGGCAAAAAGAGCCTAGGAGACCAAACAATGAAGTTCAAAAAGGAAGAATAGACATAAAGAAGATCTAGCTCCAATAGGAAGCTTTCCAGGCCAAGCCCACGCCTGTTCCCCAGGCCTGGAGGGTAGGGGAGACAAGGCTGGGGGTGCAGGAGGCCCTTTGCCAACATAGAGCAGTATAGGCACAGAGCAACTCCTGCACTCATCACTGTCATGCTAAGAGGCACAGTTCAGCCAGGCGTGGTGGCACACGCCTGAAACCCCAGCACTCAGGAGGCTGAGGCAGAAGGATCGTTGTGAGTTCAAGACCTGCCTGGGCTACAAAGTGAGCTCAAGACCAGCCTGAACTGCATAGCAAGACCCTGTCTCAAAAAGACAAAAAAAAAAAAAAAAAAAAAAAAAAAAAAAAGGCACTGTTTAGCATACTGACCCATCTCACTTGAGGACCTTGAGTGCAGAAAGTTGACATGCCCAACTCAGAGCTCATTTGCATCAGCACCCCCTGCCCCCTTTCAGTCACCTGTTTTTTTTTTTAAATTTCCTCGCTCCATCTGCTCGCCCCTTGTTCCTGCCCAGTTATATACTAAAAGGACTGCCATGGGCCTGTAGATTCTGCTGGCTGCCCTGTGCAGCAGCTCCCTCTGTATTTCTGGCTCCTGAAAGGCTGTTTGTTTGTGGTGCTAGGGATGGAAACTAGGGCTTTGTGCATGCTAGGTAAGTGCTGTACCACTAAGAGACACATCAGCCCCTTTAGGAAGTTTGAACAGTAAGAAAGTGTTGGGGTTCCAACAAAGATTTGTGGCACAAAGCTTGCTCCTCAGCCCTTCAGGGCAGTGACTTTTGTACACAGCTTGTTGTAAAGCATTTCAACTGTGAGAGCAACAGTTGGGTACAGAAGGCCCGCAGGCAGAATGATTTCCAAACTGACTTCCTGGCTTAGAATCCTAGTACTGGCTCACATACTCCAGTTTTGCACAGCCCTCTTCCCTGGGCTGATGGGCAGGGTCCATCCCGTCAGGGATGAGAGGCTGCATTTCAGCTGCCCACCACGCCAGGTAGTGTTGGCATCCCTCACCTTCCAGGCCTGGTCTGTCCCAGGCCCAACCATGCCTTTAGGCTGCAGCTTCTCCCCTTCACTGTGAGCCTCACACAGGCTCTGCTTGGGCCAGCTGTTCACAACAGCTTCATGGAGATGCAGTTCAGGTGTCACACACAGTCCACTCACTGTGAGTGGGTTTATTACTGGCAGCTATGTTAGATAGAAATTAATATACAGTCAGAGGGGGACTGGGCTCTCAAGGAAGTCAGCAGAAAAAATAAAGACATCAGAATTGTGGTTGGGAAGCACATCTGAAGAAGGCCAGGCCTCAACATAAAGATGCAATGGCCAGGCCTACATGCCTCCCTAAGCAATAAACAGCAACTTGGAATTATACTGTAATTAGCACCACCTGGTCCAGTAGGTTCAGCTACGCATCAGTTGCCCAGGTGGGTGACCAGAGAATCTGGTCCCAGCCCTTCCCAAAAATGTCTGCTTTCTTTCCATGTAACACAACTATGGGACTTGTTTCCCTACTGGATCAATATTAGCTAAGGTATACCTGTAACCCTATAGGTTATAGTTTGACCCATGTTGAACCCACATTGCCACTTTGTTGTATAAACTACCCTGACAAAGGACACCCATTCGGGACCCCTCCTAGAAATCCAGGAGCTATTATTCTTTCCTTCTTTTAATAAAGGTCCTCGCTGTGGGATCATGAACTTGGCACACCTGACATCTATCAGGTTGGGAGTTACATTTCTCCTGTATCAGTTTCAGCATATTTAAGGAGTACAACCAACACACAGCGAATTTTAAAACATTTCTACTATCCCAGAAGAAAGCTTACCCACAGGAGTAGTCACTACTCTTCCCTTCCCTTAGAAACTGATAATCTACCTTCTGTCTCTGTGGACCTGCCCATTCTCTATGTCATAAAAACGGAATCACACGGTATGTGGCCTTTCGTGTTTGCCTTCTTTCACTTGGCACAATGATTTCAAGGTTCTTCCATGCTGCAGTCTATCTGTGCTTCATTTCTTCATTCGCCCAAAGAATACTGCATTGTGTGGATGGACCACATTTTATTTATTCCCTGACTGATGGGCATTCGAACAATGCTGCTATCCACATAAGTGTATAAGCTTCTATGTGAATGTGTTTTCAGTTCTTGTGAGTAGCAAGGAGTGGATTTGCTAAGTCATGTGGCAGTCTATGCCTTAACACACTGAGAACTTTCCAGACAGTTCTTACAGCACCCTCTCTCTGCCCTAAGCTGTCTGCTTTAACCGAGGCCCTCTTCAGCCACGGTAGATCTCCCCCCTACCACTGGTACAGTAACACTGGGCCTGCAGCCTGCTATGTTCTTCAGTCCTGCCGCCCACTTAGTTTTACAATGTGCTCCATTCATAGATATATCGTGTTGGGTTGGGGCTCAGTCTCACTACATGTCACCTGCTGGAACCACATTTTCTGATCTCATGTCAGAGAAACTTGAAGTTCAGCATGTCAGCCTGTCTTTATGAGGCCCCACTGCCAGGATCTCCCAGGATAGGGAAGAAAAGGGAGGTTTGCACCACCTCAGTGGGCCCATGACACAGATGCACCAAGTTACAGGTGTGTCTGGGGTGTTGTGGTAGACCCACTCAAAGCCTAAACTTAGGGTCAGCAACACTGTTGCTGGCTGGATCATGATGACTGGCTTACTATGCTGGATATGTGTAGGGCATCTGACTTTACCAAAAAAAAGGGAGGAACCTAAAACTATAAAACTTGTAGAAGAAAAACAGAGCAAAAGCTTCCTGACAACAGGTCTGGCAATGATTTGTTAGACATGACACAAAATGCACAGCCAACTAAACAAAAAAAACACACACAGGACTTCGTCAAACTTAAAAGATCTTAATGTACTGCCAGGTTGTGATGGTGCACCTGCCTGTGATCCTAGCACTTGGGAGCCTGAGGTAGGAGACTGCTGTGAGTTCAAGGCCAGCCTGGGCTACATAGTGAGATCCTGTCTCAAAAAAAACCAGAAAACAAAACCAAAAACAAACAAGACTGGTGTCCTCACAAGAGAGGGCATCTAGCCCCCCCACGGACGTGTCTTAATCATTCAAACATGGAGAAACCCCTGGAAATACATGCCATACAATGGGCCACTCTTGCTCCTGCCATTGAGAACCAGAAAGGTTCAGAGTCAGTGGAGAAGCAGCTGCTGAACAAGGACTCAGAACACGAGAATGCAGACTAAGCCCGAGGAGTCAGAGGTCCCGTGGACTGGGGTCATGAGAGCCACTCGGAAGCTATAACCAGAAGGACCTTGCACAATACCTGCAGAGACTCCCTGGAAGCCATTCTTCCCCTGACAGTACAGGCTGTGGTGGAGCTCCGGAGAAGTCTGCAGCAGGATTCCTGCTGCCTGTGCTGACAGCTGGGGAGAGGACACTAACTGGTTGTGGGGTCCCAATGCGATGGGAGGCTGGAGAGAAAACGCTACAAAAAATGGCTTTCGCCCCAAGACGGCTCACTTGATTTTTGACAACACTTAGGCTGTAATTACTTGTTAGATCCTTCTTGCATATCTGTCTTCCTGAGAAATCACTTCAAAGATACCACCATGTATTACAACAGCCATTGATATTTTCCTACTAATCTATCCATAACTCTGTAATATTTGTATTGTTCCTATCCTATTTCATAAATGGATGCATGTTTATTATGTGTTTCCTACAACAACCATTGAAAATAGTTAATGATTATTCAATAGGTGACTCATGTACAGTTCTATTTATTTTCTTTCGAAGATACCTAAGTAGAGTACAACAACTATTGATAATCTCCTACCCCTTTTGTCTGTAACTCACTATTATTCGTCTATTTGTTTTCCTGAGAAACTATCTTGTAGATAACAATATGTAAAACAATAACCATTGATAATTTCCTACCACTTCATCTGTAATTTGGTAACCCCCCCATTATCCTTCTTTTACTCTTTAAAATAAAAAAAAAAAAAAGAGAAGGCATCTAAGTAGCTGGTAATATTCCAAAGTGCTCAACTTCCTGAGTCACAGAGACATGCAAATTAAACCTTAACATACAACATCACACACTCACCAGAAAAGGGCAGGAAACCCAGCCACTGGCAAGACTGGCTGCTGGAGTATATTCACCAACTGGTCCCTGCCCAGGACACCACTGGTCTCCAGGTGCGTCCTCAGCATATCCTCAGGTCCAGGGACACTAAACTCTTTTCCTGACAGTCCAACTGAAAGCTGACTGCACAGGTGCTCAGAGTGGCGGGTGAATGGATACGATTGCCACAATAAAGAACAAGAAGTGGGCAAGGGCAGGGAATAATGCAGATGACTCAAGCCTTAATGTCATCTATAGAATCTGCAAGCCAGGCTGTGTTCAACAAGTGGTGGCAGCGCTGGGTATGTCTAGCTATGCCTCGCTCCTATGCTCACTTTAGCACAGAGGCTCCAGTTCCCTCCAGGGCAACAGCCTGAGCCCAGGCTCTGCCTTCCAGGGCACTCAGGTACCCATTCTAGCCGGGCGTGGTGGTGCATGCCTGTAATCCCAGTACTCGGGAGGCTGAGGCAGGAGGATCACTGTGAGTTTGAGACCAGCCTGGCCTACAAAGTAAGCTCAAGGCCAGCCTGAACTGCATAGTGAGACCCTGTCTCAGAAAGACAAAATAAATAAATAAAGTGCTGTTATTAGGTACCCATTCTATACTTATCAGGCCCATGGAACCAAACAGTCCCAGGGGGCCTCAATGAAGGGACATGCACTTCAGAGAAAGAACAGGTATGGGGCTGAGACCCTACCACAGAGGCAAAAGGGATGCAGAGGGGTATAATGGAGTAGAGCAGTACCCTTCTGTGCATGGCTTCCTGAAGATATGGCAGACTTCCTGCACCAGTGTCTTTGTTGGTAATGGGAACAAGGAGCTCATCTAGTTGGGCCCCCCACCAGCTCAATAAGCTTAGTGTTGCCCTGGCTGGTCTAGAACCTCAAGCAATATTCCTGTCTCATCCTAATGAGCATCCCAGGCACACACCACCATACCCCACTTATATTTGTCTTTTCATTTTCCTTTTTTTCCTCTTATATTTCTTAGCAGAGTTGTTTTTAATCTGTCTTCAGATAGAAGGAAAAAGATATGGCTGTAATACATCCACAGTGAAAGGGGGCAAAGCTGTGCGGGTCTGAAGGGAGAAAAAGAGGTGTTCAAGTACCCAGGCCTGATCCTGGGCTTGGCTGACCCACAGCCCCTACCTTCTCCTTTAGCATGGTGCCTCGCTCCTTTAGTAGGCAGTTGATCATGACAGTAGCTGCTCGAGAACAGTTCTTGTCAGGGTCTCCCAGGCCCTCAAACATAGTTAGCAAGAGGCTGATGAGCTGGTCTGGTGGGAGGCGCTTGGCAATAATCTAGGAGAAGAGTGGTACCAGAAGAACAGAGGTGGGATTGGCCCCAAACACCAATCCTTCAGGTGGAAAATCTCAGGCTTCCCTCTTCCTGCCCCTCCTCCTTGCCTTCCAACCCTGGACGGCTGTTGGAAGGTGGTCCCTGGGCAGCTACAGGGCTGAGGGCTCCTGACCAGGTAGATCAGGAAATATCCTGCCAAGGGCACAGAAGGCCTGTGGCTGCCCTCCAGCTCAGCAGTGGATAGAGCTCCTTTCCTTCTCCTCTTATCAAGGGAACTTAGCCTGGGAAGACGACAGACAGTGTCACAGTGCCAGATGGGCACTAGGCTCCTACTGCACCCTGACCGGCCCAGGGTAGGTCCCTGCTCTCCCAAAAAGCGCCCTGGTGACTCTTCCCCTCCCTCTTGCCTCTGCTGGAGACCCAGGTCTGGGAGGGCTGCCCAGGTAGGGGCTCACAAAATGTCCTGTGAAGGAGGGGCACCTTTGAGTGGACTCTAAGGTACAGGCATGCAGTGGGAGGGGCACCCCATCCCTCAGAGCCACCCCCAGACTGCAGTGGGATAAAATGCCTCTGCCAGCTGGAACCCGAGGAAGGACCTACCACTGGCCCCTATGTGGGCAAGCTAGAGGCCACGGCTGACCAGTTCCTGTGGCTCTCAGTGAGCACTGGGTGAGGGCAGGCTACAAAGACAAATGCTAGCACAGGACAGCTTGACTCTTCTGGAAACCAACATCTTGAGTGAGCAGGCTGGAGTGCAGGTGACAGCAGCCACTGGGCCAGCTGGGCCTTGAGCCCTCACTGCCTCTTCACTCTCCACCAAAGCCTTGCCACACACTGCATCGTTCTCTTGTGTGTACTATGGTGCTCCGCAGAGGGCAGGCATAGGAGACGTAGACTGTGTTGACCAGACATGGCTACAGAGGAGTTCTCTAAATGAAGCCCACATCCCCTGCTCTGTACCTACGGGCCCTGTGGCACCTGCAGAGCCAGAGGATCCACCTGCCATCTCTGAAGCTGTTCTCAGCCCCAAGAGATATAACCCCTCATTCCCAAGCACATGTCCTGGCAATACCTGGGCTATGCTGTGGCAGGCATGGAAGAGGACAGCAGGGTCAGCATGCACGAGACTGTCTCTGAGAGGGAGGAGTCGCTCGGCCACTTCATCACGGTGTTCTCGGGAGAAGCCTGAGCAGCAGGAAGCATCAGACTGAGGCCTTCCCTAGGCATTCTACAACCAAACTCCATGCCTGATCCCTCCTAGCACTCTGCCCAGCTGGCCTCCCACCCTGAGCACAGCTCACCATCATAGCCCAGCTGTAGGTAGAGCAAGGAGTGGATGCAGTTCACAGCCTCCTGGCGGGTGGCAGGCCACAGGTCCGCACAGCGGGGGGAGAAGAGGCCCACGAGGAGGCCCAGGTTGTGGAAGGGCACCAGAGCCTAGGGGAGATAGCACACGGGGGGCCGGACTATAGAAGTGCTAGGGGATGGGTTAATATAGCTTATACCCCAAAGACACAGAAGAGGGTCCTACAGACTGCACCCCACAGCCCTAGGCCTTCCCTGTGGCCAATCGACCCCTGGTGAGTTCCTTCTCCCCATCCCCTCACTTAGGACCTGTTTAGCTCAGCTAAGCTGACCATTCCTAGTCCAAAGTGTCCCTATATGGGGGTGGGCAGAAGCAGACATGCAGAGGCAAAGGGATGACCAGGGGATGCAGAAGAAACCCCTAAAGCAGTAGCACAAGGGGAGGAGACACATGCACCCCTTTGTCCTGATGGGGTCCCAGTCCATCTCTCGTCTCTCTCCCCCAGTGCTGACTCTTCCTCCTCCCTGGGCCCTGCAACACCCTCTGCCCACACACGCCTGTCCCTGCCTCCCTTGCTCCCTCTCTTAGCCCCTACCACTACACAGGCTCCAGACACTACTCCTCCTGAAACTGTAGAAACTAACATGTAGAAACCTTTTCCCAGCCCACCACTGATGAGAAGGAAGCATTTCAGGTCAGGAGGGAAAGACTTCTAGGTAGGACCTCAGCACAGGTGGCTGCTGTTCTTAGGTTAGATTCATCACAACCCAGACCAAGATAAACTCCAGTCACACATCATGAAAAACAGGCCATGAAAGAGGGCAAGCGGAAAAAGCCCATGGAAATGCATGCTGAAAGCACAGTCATCAAGAAACCTCCAGATCTGGCCACATAAAGAATGTTTTCGTGTATTAAAAACAAAACTACCAAAACAAAAAGTTCACAATGGTCCTGGTAGGTGAAAGATGTTTGATCTGGGTGTGGTGGCACACACCTGTAATCCCAGCACTTGGGAGGGTGAGGCAAGAGGATTGTGAGGATCAAAGCAAGCCTGGGCTACAGAGTTCAGCCTCAACTACATAGTGAGAACCTGTCTCAGTTCTCACTGCAAACAAACGCAACAACAACAAAACCAAAAAATAACAAACCAACAAACAAACAAAAAGAAGAAAAACCAAAGAGAGGTTTGAAAAGATCCAATATCTAGCCAAGGATGATGGCAGATGCCTGTAGTCCCAGCACTCTGGAGGCTAAAGCAGGAAGATCACAAGTTTAAGCCCAGCCTAGGCAACTCAACAATTCAGCGGGACTCTGTCTCAAAATAAAACTTTTTTTTTTTCTTCAAAATAAAACTTAAAAAATAAAAATTAAAAATAGGCTGAGGATGTAGCTCAGTGTGAAGGCCTTGAGTTCAAAACTGCAAGGAAAAAAACAAAAACAAAAAAGATCCAGTATCGGCACCTGATAGAAGTTCTCATTAACACAGACTGATGCTTCTGGACTGATAAAAAATAAACACTGCAGATCAAGTCAAGCAGCATAGCAGTGAAGAGCTGGGCACAGGTAAGCCCCAGCCATGACTAAGCTCTGAGCGGGGGTCTCAGGATGATGCTGGCCATGGCAGGTCCTAGTCCATGTCAGAGCTAGGGCAGCAGCTAGAGGAAGGCCTGGAGTGAGGGTTACATGCAGGGTTCCTGAGCCCAGAGGCCTAGGGAGAGGATGCAGGGGACATCAGGGAAACCAGTACTCACGCTGACTTGCAGGTGCTCCAGGAAGTAGCGCAACAGGCGGGCACTCACACCCAGTGCCCGTGCCCTCTCATGGCCCCGTGGGGACTTGATCCATGGGCTCAGGTGCTGGGAAGAGGGGAACTTCACATAGGTGCCAGTTTGGGGTCATCCCAGGAGGACAGGAGCCTATGCACCTGGAAGTGGCTCAGCATCGCTTCCAGGTCACCCTTGGTCTCCAGAGGGCCAGACAGGCATATAGTGTAACTTCTAACTCAAGGCCCACTACAGTTTGCCCTGCCCTGTCCTCTGCCCAGGGCTACAGGCAGGATGGAGGATACACTCCTAGATGAGCAGCTGCATCTTTCCCCAGCCCACTGTGGTGCTGAAAGCCGTGGGAAGGACATGCCAGCAGGGTCTGAGTCCTGCCACCTCACCAGCCCCCGATGGTCAGGAGCTTGTGTCCAGGACATGTGTTCCTCTTCCTAGTACCATGCAGTTGGGGAGGGGGCAGGCTACATAGCCTCACTGGGTCATCACTGCCCTTCTGTGTCAGGGAGGGGTGTTGCCTGCTTGCTCAAAGACACACCCTGTTGCAGAGTATATACAACTGTCCCTGCAATGCCGTTCCACCCCTACAATGCCCTTCCACCCCTACCATGCCCATGACTGTGTACCACCACACACCTCAATTATGACCTGCAGGCCCTGGGGTGTCATGTTCCACTGCAACAGGCTTGTCAGCAAGTCTTCAAGGGCAAGTATTGTGTCCAGATACAGGGGCTAGAAGGAGAGCCAGATCATCCAGCCCCCCAGGCGATCACATCACTTATGTGGCCTTCCTATGGCCTCCACAGACATATACACATGGTGAGGGACACATGCAGTACCTCCTGGCAGCCACCATCCTCTCCCTGAGGCTCAGGAAGCAGGGCCATGACACTATGTAGGCAGCCATGGATCACGTCAGCCTGTGCCTGCTCTTCTAATGGTGGCTCCAAAAAGCTGAGCAGCAAGTTAAGGGCCCCCAGCCATGACTGTGCATCAAGTCTTCTCTAGCCAGCCCCCCCGAAACCTTCAGACCTCTGCAGATGGTACAGCCACGTAACACATGCACACACATAATACACAGAGGCAGGGAAGGATACAGCAGATGAGTGCAGGTGAGCATGGCTTTCTTCCGAAGAGGTGTGGTCAGGGAGTCTGTGGGCTCTGCCTTGATGAACTCCTGGGTGAGGTCGCCACAGGCTCAGCCTTTAGAGAGGGCACCAGCCTCTTTCCCTGCTGGGCCTGACCCTTGTCCCAACTGAGAGCTCTCTCAGGGCACAGGGCTCTGTCTTACCCCTCCAGGGCTGTCTCTCACCTCCCTAGGTCCTGCTTCCACTGTTCTACAGAACCACCATGATCCACCAACCTGCTTCCCCAGGAACCTGCCCCAGAAGCAATGTCCGCCCAGCACGCACCATCATCTGTGCCACCAGTTCTGCTTTCCTTGAGAAGTGGAAGGAGCCAGGCTGAGTACTGCTGCGGGCAGTCTGGCTAACCATGCACAGGCTCTGGACGAGGCTCAGCTTCAGGGTTGGGTCCTGGAGAAACACCTGGCTACAAGAGGCTGCCAGCACTCTGCTGCACAGCCTAAGGGGCATTTACAGGTCCCTGGGGCTGATCCTAGCAGTGCAGGCCAGCACACATGCTGCTCTCCCTACGTGACCAGCCAAGACCCCTCTGCATCTCTAGGAGCCCTTCAGCCTGTCCTCCTAACTGAAGAGGATTCCCAGCCATGGGCAGGCAGTCCCCGAGTAGGGTGTATGGTTACAGCCCTCAAGATGGGAGGAAGGCCTGGCTGAGGAGACCGTCCTGTTGGGCCTCACAAAAGTTGTATGGTGTTGGGGAGCCTCAGCCAGGCCCAAAAGACAAAGGTGAAGGCTATGATCTGCTCCTCAAAAGAGGCCAGCTATCCCTGTGAGGGTCTGGTCAGATTAGTGCCAGAAGAGAAACATGTTAGTGAGGCCAAAGGAGCCTCTAATGCCATCTCCACTGGTCCTGGGCTCTGCTGTCCTCTGGAAGCTCCAGGGGCCTAGAGACAGGCAGCCCCAGGAGCATCAGAGAGTGGAGCCAAAAGAGCCTTGGGGCTGTACCTGGTCTGTGAGGGCTACAGCCACAAGGAAGGTAGGCCCTGGAATGTGGGCCTAAGCCTAACTGCTCAGAGGTGGCACAAACTCTGCTCCTCCCTAGAGCAGGAGCTTGGCCACTCAAGCCTCAAACGAGAGGCTGCTCCAATGGGAAATGAACAGAAGGCCCTGGAACAATACTCTAGGATAGTCCCCCAGGAATTAGCCAGGTAGCCCCATGTGTTCCAGTCTAGCTCTGTCCCCACAGCCCAGCCCAGCAGAAAGAGAGGAAAGCACAACCCACATACAATTCTCCACACTGTACCTTGGTTTCTACTTTTATTCCCAGAACCTGAACAACAAAAAGTGAAATGAATTAAGACATGCAACTCTGGCACACATGGCCAGGACCAGCCCCCACAGACAGCCACGGTACCCACCTTGTTGTTGAAGCACTGGAACATGTTGGGGAGGATGTCGGACTCCACCTTGGCCAGCACAAGCTCTCGGGGGGCCCGTGCCGCTACGTGCCCATAGCACAGGATCAGTGCACTCTTGACCTTCTCTACCTCATGCTCGCTTCGGTCCTGGCAGGCAAAGGAAATCAGTAGCTGTCAGCTACACAAACACCTATGCTGTCACGCAGGAAGACTTAGACTCATACCATGTGTTCCTAACCTTCCTCAGTCCTCTTGGAAGGAGGGCCAAAGCTGACCAGCAACACCAGAGGCATAATTAAGAGCACCACCAAGGGACAGAGGCCCCCAAGGGTGCAACGGGGACCAAATGAAAGAAGGAGAGGTCTGAGGAGGGGGGACCATGCAAGAGGAACTGGCAGGCAGAGAAGCTGAGGGAGTCTGGCTACTGGAAGGCACAGAAAGGTGGGTAAGGCCAGGGTGTGATGACGCACACATATGATCCCAGCACTCAGGAGGCTGAAGCAGGAGGACTGCCTTGAGTTCGAAGCCACCCTGGGGGCACCACAGTGAGTTCAAGGCCAACCTGAACTACATAGCAATACCCTCTCTCAAAAAACAAACCAACAAATAACAAACAAAAGATGCGTAGGCCCTGTATACCTGGCCAGCTCTAAGGTTCTGCAGGTAGGGCAGTCACCAGAGACAGAACTGAGGGACAATGACTAGGGTGAGGATGATAGGCATGTCCATCCTTTCTTGTATTAGGCCTTGTCTCTGTTTTAAGAGCACAGCAAAGGTCTGTGCACACAGTCTGGTCATACACTCTGTCTCCCAGAGCTTGTCTCAGGACTATTACTGGCAGAAGGAAGCACATGAACAGCTAAATTTGCTTCTAGAAGGCCATTCTGCCCTTTGCTGGGAGGGGAGCCCACACCCACAGGTGGGAACCCAAAAGGCCAGAGGCTGCTTCCTACCTACCCACGCCTGTGGTCACCTGCTCTCCAGTGTCACTTCAGAGGAGCAGGACCAGCCTCCCAGGACCCTGAAATGTAGGGAAGCTGCCAGGTCCTGACCTCCACTCTGGGTGATGACTTCTGTACCTTAAAAATGCTAAAGATGCCACTGGATTTCCTGAGCACATCAGACTTTACAAAGTCCTCCAGCTGGGCCAGCGTGTCTTCAAGGTGGGAGATGGCACAGATCCCAAAGCAGCAGGCGAGGCCCTGGGAAGGCACACAGGAGTGCTCACACCGGAACAAGGAGTCCCCACCCTAGAATGTGCTGAGCGTGGGGGCATACATACTACCCACACGTACGTGTGGGTGCAGACAACACACTGGACCCATTCCTAACATGTGCATACATTCCTAAGTGCATACAGTATGCATACACACACATGCTGGCTGGCTGGTTGAGAGGATACAGTGTGACCCCTGCCAGCCAGCCCTTGGTGCCCAGGGCTTCCCCACCTCATGTTCCACTTCCTCCTGGTATCTGGCTGTTTCCAGAAGCTCCTGCAGATGCTTCCTCACCACTTCCTTACTTGTAGCAGCAACCAGGGTAGTTCCTATGCATTTATACAGGAAGTTCTAGAACAGACAGAACACAGTGAGCATGACTCCTGGCTGCTGCAGCATCATGCCACCGACCACTTGGGTGGGTCCCCTTTGCAGGTGGAGTGGTACACCCTGGGCCAAGTCTGAGGAGCAAGAGGCAGGCAGCAGGCTCCCCCACGTCCCAGCTCCCAGATACCATGAGGAGGGGCACAGCCCTATTTTTCCTGTCTCCACCAGGGCCACCAGTGTCACAGGAGATAGGCCCAAACAGCAAATGATGCAGATTCAAGGCACAGGAGTCTGTAGCCTGAGGACCATGTCACCACCCCCGCTGGCCCTTCCTTTGCACCTTCTCCTGGGGTGTCCCGTTGTAGCATGGCAGCTGCTTGCACATCTCCAGGCTCAGCTGGCAAATCCACACGTTGTCAGAAATGACGGCTAGAGTTTCACGCAGGAACTGCAGATGAGGCACCAGTGAGGGGCCGAAGCCTAGGTGTGCCTCAGGATGGCCAGCTGGTCTGCAGGTGACCTCCGAGCTGAGCAGTGGACAGCAGAGCAAGCCCTGGGTGGGCAGCCATCAGCAGGCTCGGGCACAGATGACTCTGGGCCAGGCAGGGGTAGAAGAGAAGGCTCCCAATGCCAGTGTGGCCCAAAGCCCCTCAGTTTAGTGTCGCTGCTAGAGGCTGGGTACCTTGTCACAGCAATCTGAGGCCAGCTGCCATCCTCACTAATACTCTCCATGTTCTTGAGCCCCTGCCCCAGCCACACCACCAGGTTGCAGGCGATACAACCCTAGCAGCATGTGGCCCCCAGTATCCACCTTCCACACCCTCCTGACCCCAGCCTAGAGGATGCTTCAGTGCCAGCCAGGCCATGCTCCAGCCTCTTCTCCCAGCTCTCACCATCAGAAGCTTTTCCTCCCATTCCTTCAGCGAAAGTGTTTCTTCAGTGTGCTCTGCAATGACCAAAGGCCCCACTGTTTTAGGTCCCGCTGGGCAAGCCACCTCAACATGTACAAGTGGGAGCCTCACACCATATACCTCCCCATTTTCTGGAGCCTCCAGAAGCAGCTAGCTAAGTAACATCTGCAGGGCTGCCCCACACTTAACCCCTACACTGTCCAGGTTGTTTCTTAGACCACAGCAAAGACTGTTTCTTCTAAGTTACAGAGCCCTAGTCCACATCACCCACCCTAGATGCCACCTGGCCAACGTGAGGGCTGGGTGGCTCATGGCTCCTCATTAACCTTCTAGCCTCACCATCTAGATATTCCAGCAACAGGGTGATGGCTGTCTCCCACCGCTGGGCCAGCAAAGGGTGGATGTTCTGCTGCAGAACCTTCAGGAGACGTAGCGAGGCCGCCCCTCGCCCACTGCCCAGGTAGGGGCTGGAAGATACAACCTGAGGGAGGCAGAGATGGTCCATGTTGACACCTGCACCTGCTGGTGTAGATGTAGCAGGACAGCTCAAAGGACTAAAGTGCCCAACACAGGTGCATGCTGCCCAATAAGAAGGCAGCCAGGGCCACAGCCTAACTCCCAGGTAGGGACTTGGGCCAGGCGAAAGCCCATTCTTCCCAACCTCTGTGGACGGTGCCACAGCCACCTGACGAGTGTCTCCTACTTACAGGCGGTGATGTATCCAGTGTGCTTGGAAAGAGCAATGCTTACCAGCAGTCTTGTGATCACGGCATAGGGAGATGGGAGGTTTGCTGGATAAAAGATGGGGGAAACAGTCATAGGGTGGGGACAGGAGGAGGGGCAAGACTGGGGTTAAATGCAGGGGGCACAGCTGGGGTAAGGGTAGGAGCAGGAGTCGGGTCAAAGCAGAGAGCTATGTTGGGGTTAGATGCAGGCTGGGGTCAGGTGCAAGGGGGCAGCAGGGTCAGGGGGGGGTCACACTTGCGTACTGTGGGTGTCATACTGGACCAGCAAGGTATCTGCCCCTGCCTCCTGCCTCTTCAGAGCCAAATGCACGAGGCTCCTACAGAGTGGGGTCAAGGCCTCAGTGAAGCGCACAGGGGTGAGGAATTCCAGCAGGTAGGGCCAGAGGACCTGGGGAAGCAGAAGACCCTTGTCTGCAGCTGCAGCCTCCAGGGCAGTTAGCACTGCTGGAGGAGCCACAAGTGAAGGTGTAGGGGGGCAACTCCCGAGGAGCTCAAGTTGGGCAGTCTGTTTGCTTGTCTTGCTTCAAGCAAGGGGGCCTCTGAACACTGCCAGGCCACTAGAGGCTGTACCATCAATCACAGGGTTCATCTGTCACCCAGGATGGGGGTACTCAGTTCCTAGGCAGGGTGGCAACCCAGCCAGAGCAGAGGCTTTGGCCTGAAGGGTACACTCACATCACTCATCCTGTCCACTGTGGTGCTGACCAGGTAGAGGGTACTGATGCTGACAGCTCTCACACTGTCTTCTGCTGCCAGGGCCTCGCCCTCAAGGTTCTGCTTCTCGGTCTGGGGAAGGGGCAAAAGGCAAGAATGCACATGAACAGCTTTCCATGGCCAGGATGGCAGCACAGAGACACATGGCAGGCAAGAGAAGGAAGCTCAGCAGGTGTGCCTGGCCTCCTGTGAGGCAAGATTTGGAGGGCCTCAGCTGCAAGGGACAAGGAACCTGTGTGGAAATCTCCCAAGAAGACAGGTTTGCCTGATTCAGTTTTCATTTCCTATAAGCTGCTGACTCCAGTAAGAAAAACAAAAGAAAGACGGGCATGGTGGTGCATGCCTATAATCCCAGCCCTGGGGAGGCTGAGGCAGGAGGATCGCTGTGAGTTCAAGACCAGCCTGGGCTACAAAGTGAGCTCAAAATCAGCCTGAACTTCATAACAAGACCTTATCTCGGAAAGACAAAAAAAAAAAAAAAAAAAAAAAGAAAGAAAAACAAAACAAAACAAACTTTGTCTCTGACTTGGTTATGCTGTTTTGAGAGAAATGTGGCAGGCTTTGTGGAGATGATGACCCAGTGAGAAAGCTCCTGTTCTCTACCAATACACTCCAACCTTTCAGCCTGGGCAGGAGAGTAGTTTTTTCCTCAGACACTTCTGTCCTTTGGTAGGACAGTGCACAAAAGCCCCCTGCAAGAAAGTAACTTCTGCTTTCAAAAAGTTTTGTGACCTTCCACTCATGCTTTGAAACACCAAAATCAAACACTGAAAGACAGAGAAACCAGCAATAATAGCAGGAGACTTTTCTTTCTTTCTTCCCTTCTTTCTTTTTTTTTTTGAGACAGGGGCTTGCTAAGTAATCTAGACTGATTTTGAACTTGCTATGTAGCCCAGGCTGACCTTGAACTGGCAGTTATCTCCTGCCTCAGCCTCCCAAGTGCTGGGATTACAGGTGTGGGCCACCACATCTAACTGCAGGAAACTTTTAACAAAGTACTTATCTTAGAACAAAGATCAAGTAGAAAAACAGTAATATTAGGACCCTGAATAACCAACTTTCTCTCTCTTTCTCTCTCTCTTTCTCTGTACTAAAGATTGAGCTCAGAGCCTTTGCACTGGAAGTAAATCCTCAGCCCTTTGTTTTTTTTTTTTTTTTTTTGAGAGACAGGATTCTTGCTAGGTTGTCCAGACTCAGCTCAAACTCATGATCCTCCTGCCTCAGCCTCTCAGAGTGCTGGGATTACAGGTATGCATCACTATACCATACCCAAGCCTGAACAACCTTTTTTAAAGCATGCCATGAAAATTTAGATGGATTATTATACCAAATATGCATACTTTGGAAGCCTGACCATTAAGCCAAGAACAGTATTTCTACAAATTTAAGAGCAAAAATCAACCTGGCAGATTCTCTTTGACCAGCAATGACATCGAAAGTCTACAGCAGCTATAAAAAAATATGTCCATATACAGGCTTGGAAAGATCATAAAAGAAACATTTGGGCAACAAATCGGATAGACACTGAAAACTCTGAAAATGAACACTGACAACATGACAAAATCTACCAGAAGCAGAAATATTAAGACTCACAGTCCAAGGACATATACTCAGCCTAAAAAAATATACTTTGAAAGGAAAATTAATAGCTAGGTATGGTGGCACATGCCTGTAATCTCAGCACTAAGGAGGCTGAGGCAAGGGGATCACTGTAAGTTTGAGGCCAGCCTGGGTAACACAGTGAATTTAAGGCCAGCCTGAACTATACAGTGAGACCCTGTCTCAAAAAAAAAAACCAGAAAAAAAATTTAAAAATAAAAATAAAATGGATATTATTGCAGGGCACAGTGGTGTACCCCTGTAATCCCAGCACTTTGAGAGGCTGAGGCAGGAAGATTGCAAGTTTGAGGTCCCCCTGAGCAATTTAGCAAGATACTGTCTCAAAAAAAAAAAAAGTACTACGATATATAGCTTTAGTGTGAAGACCCTATGTTCAATACCAATACCACCAAATAAATATGTAAATAGAAATTATTGACATATGAACCATGAACAAGAAGTTCCAGAAATACTATGTAAGAAATTGTAACAATACAAATAAAAAAGTCAATTCAGAAAATTAATAATGTAATGGGTATCACTGGGGAAGAAATTACCACCTTTGCCAGGCATGGTGGCACACACCTGTAATCCCAGCACTTGGGAGGCTGAGGCAGGAGCATCGTTGTGAGTTTGAGACCAGCCTGGGCTACAAAGTGAGCTCAAGGCCAGCCTGAACTGCATAGTGAGACCCTGTCTCAAAAAGACCAAAAAAAAAAAAAAAAGACAAAAAAAGAAATTACCACCTTGGAAGGACAAACAGAAGAGGGTTTCGAAGAAAAAGCTTTTTTTAAATTTGAGACAGGGTCTTGCTTTGTAGTACAGGCTGACCCTGAACTCACTATATAGCCCAAGTGATCCTCTTATAAGCATGCACCACCATGCCTGGCAAAAAAGACATTTTGAGAGAATGAAATAAAAGCTGAAAGACAGAAAGGCTAACATTTAGATATCCATTATTCTGGACTCCTCAGGTCCCATAAGCCCATTAGCATGGGGTGGAGTCAGAGTGTGCCTAAAATAAAGAGAACGGTATTTATTCCCTTCTACGAAGTTTCAGTTGGCCAGGACCTCAGGCAATGAATCTGGGCACCTCCGACCCATCAAACAGAACCTCAGATACTTTATATACCAAAAAATGTCTCAGACAATTAGGAATTTGTTCAACCTGATAAAGGGATAAGAAACCTATTATCAACAACATTCTTAAAACTTATAGACATATTCTTCTTAGAATGGGAAAAAAGCGAGAGTGTCAGCTCTCAACCACTTACCTCTCTACTCCAGTACTAGGATTGAACCCAGGGATGCTGAATTATATCCTCAGCCCCTTTTAAAATTTTATCTTAAGGCAGAATCCTACTAAGTTGTCCATGCTGGCCTTCAAATTGCAGTCTTCCTGCCTCAGCCTACTGAGTAGCTGGGATTATAGGTGTGCACCAGTACACCTGGCTTTACCACTTCCATATGACACTATACTGAAGATCCTAACCAAAGCAATGAGGAATAAAAGGCATTCATATGAGAACAAAAAAAGGAGAAGATTGCCTATTTGAAGAAGTATGATGTTTTATGTAAAAAACTCCAAAGAATCTATTTTTTAAAAAAAAAGTACCAGGCATGAAGTCTATACTCCCAGCTTCTTTGGGGACTAAGGTAGGAGGATCACAAATTCAAGGTTATCTTGAGAAATTTAAAAAAGAGCTGGGGATGTAGCTCAGTGGTAGAGCATTTGCCTTGTACAAGGCCCTCAGTTCAATCCCCAGTACCAAGCAAGGCCACAAGATGTAAGGTCAACATGTAAAAATCAGTGATATTCCTGTAAAGCATCAGAAACTAAAATGAAGAAGCTACACTGTTACAATGGCACTAAAAACCAAATAGTGGTGGGGGTGTAGCTCAGTGGTTAATGCTTGCCTAGCATGCCTGAGACCCTGGGTTCAATCTCTAGGACCATAAAAAAAAAAAAAAAAAAAAAAAAAGCCAAATAGATGCAAATCTAACAATATACCAGAACATATAGACTTTACAGCCTGTCAATTACAAAATACTAACAAAAGAAATCAAAGAAAGGGCCAGGGATACAGCTCAGTGGCACAAGCACCTGCCTGGCAAGCTCAAAGTCCTGAGTTGGTCCCTGGTACCAAAGGAAAAAGAAAAAGAAAGAAAGAAATCAAAGAAAACCTAAATAATTGTAGAAATGTAATGGTTTCATAAGTTAAATGCTCATAAAATAGACTACAGGCTAAAAACAACCTCATTAAAAATTCCAATAGGTTTATTTTTACAGGGAAAAAAGATGCTCCTAAAATTTACATGGAAAAACAAAGGAACTATAAAAACCAAACATGACTTGAAAAAAAGGTCAGAGTTGGAAGAATCACATGCATGGCTTTGAAGCTACAGTGAAGTGTGCAGTAAGGATATAAGAACACTTACAACTGAGGCCACAAAGCCAGCTGATGCTGACAGGGATGCAGAGACAGCCCAAGAGTGCAGAAGAAACACAAGATGCTGGGACAACCTGCCGTGCACATGCAGAAGATGAGCCCACCCAAACTCACATGTGAAGAAGAATCCCCTTGAAATGGACCAGGGACCTAAACATGAGCCTAAAATGGAACACTTCTAGAACAGAACACAAGAAAAGATCTTTGTGACCTTGAGTTAAGCAGTGATTTACCAAAAAGAATACCAAAAGCATGATTTACTTTTTTTTTCCCCAAAAGCATGATTTACAATGAAAATCTATTAAATAGGATTTTTAAAAAGACATCTGATTTTTAATGATGCCATTAAGAATTTTAAAAAAGCATGAAACAAACTCATAAGAAAGTACTTATAAGCCATAAATCTGATAAAGGACATGCACTTAGAATATACAAATATCTCTCAAAATTCAGTAAGAAAACAATCTGCCAGGTGTGGTGGCGCACACTTAAGATCCCAGCACTTGGAAGGCTGAGGGAGAAGGATCATCATGAGTCAAAGACCAGCCTAAACTACACAGTGAGACCCTGTCTAAAAAAGAAAAAAAAAGAAAACAAATTATTTTAAAATAGATACAAGATATGAGCAGACAAAGAAAAAAATATAAGATGGAAAAGGACACATGAAAAGACATTTAGGATCCACAGTCATCAATGAAAAGTAAATTAAACCCACAGTGAGACAGCAACCTATCAGAACAGCTTTAAAAAAAAAATATATAGCTTTAAAAAATACTGATTGTGCTGGGGCTGGAGCTCAGAGGTGGAGCACTGGCCTATCATGCTCCAGGGTCTGGCTTCAATCTCTAGTACCAAATAAATAAGTAAACAAATAAAGTGCTGACCAAAACGAAACTACTTACAAAGATACAGAACAGACTCATTCAGGCATTCTTGGTCACACTGCAAAATGATGCAGCCTCTTTAGAAACAGTTTGGAAGTTTCTTATGAAGTTAAATATACTTCACAAATGCAGAATAAGTAAACATATATAATCTGCCACTTATTCCAGCAGTCCCATTCTTGGGTATTATTTGCCCAAAGCACACATATCTACTTTCAAAAACACCTGTACTCTGCTGGAAGTTGTGCGCACTCCTGTAATCCCAGCCCTGTGGGAGGCTGAGGCAGGGGTTCAAGTCCCGCACGGGTAACTTAGCAAGACTCCGACACAAAATAAAAAATAAAAAGGGCTAGCTCAGTTCAATTCCCAGTACCCTCTCTTCAAACAAACAAACAAACAAAAAAATCTGTACTCAAATGTTTATAGTGGATTTATTCCTAATTGGCAAGACTCAGAACAATTTAAATGTCATCTCACTGGTGAGTAAATAAATCAACTGTGGTATCTACACATGACGCAGTGCCTCTCAGCAGCGAAAAGGGATAAATGACTGATACACGTGACCACATGGATGACCTCACAGCCTGATATAAGGGAAGGAACTCTGACTCAAAAGTGCTACATACAGTTTGAGTTCACCTAGACCACATTCTGGAAAAACAAAACTGTAGGGAAAGAAAATATAACGAAAGCGCCAGGGGCTAGAGCCAGCTACCAGGAGGCAAAAGAAACCTGGGGTAGTGAAACCTTCTATGTCAGTGGAGTGACTGTGACTGGGAACTTGTCAAGAGCATATCATGGTATGCTTAAGAGTGCTTTTTCCTATATGGAAATTCTACTTCAATAAATCTATCTTTTAAAGAAAGGTCAGGGGGAAACAAAAATTACAGATGAAATAGCAAAATAATGATAATAATAAATAATTCTAATCTTTAAACTCACTTTTTGTTTTCTTTTTGTAGTGACTATATCCAGGGCCTACATATGTAGGCACTCTATAAATAACCTTCACCCCCCAACTCTTCTTTTACTTTATTTTGAGATGAGGTTTTGCTAAATTGTGCAAGGTGGTCTTGAAATTGTAATTTCCTGCCTCAGCCTTCTGAATGGAGGAGATTACAGGTGTGCACGACTGCATCCAGCTTTAACTCATATTTCTGCAAAAACCTTTAAGGGGAATCTTAAATGCTACCATGGATTCTGGGTCCCAGTTCTCTCCTTGTGATGGCGTGCATCTGACTGGCTGCTGCAGGATCAGCAAGCAGCTCCCTCATCTCTGCGTGCTTCTCCATCAAGAAAGTACTACTTGGCACACCAAGACCCCTGCCACTGACTGTCACCTCTCTTTGCAGCATATTTGCCACTAACCCCAAGTCCATTTATCTCACAGCAGCATGTCCTCTTTTGTTTTGATTTTTAAATATTTTGTCATGGCAAACTGAAACATGTAAAAGTACAAAGCTTGGTATAATGACCCCACAGGCCCACTCTAGCCCCAGCCTCCAGCAATGGACACTGAGCAGTGAGGTTAAAAATATTTAAGTCTGTTACCTTTCATCTCACATGAAATGTTCAGCCACTATTTCAGAATTCGTAACTGAGCCTTTTTTATCAGAAGAAAGTAAAAACATTATTTCCCATGTGAGTTTAGTAGTTTTCTAATAGTAAGAGATCTTCAAATCCCAAAATACTGAGACTAAAACAGAGGTTTTGGCCTCTTCAATTAATGTTTAATGACTCATAAAGCCACTGAGGTGAAAAGTACCCAAACTGATGCATGGACCCCAACTTCTCAGCCTGCCTCTCCCACCTGTGGGCTCTGCTTCCTCCTAAGACCTGCTCTCCTGTTGGATGTGGCAGAACAGGAATCAACTCACTCACTGACCTTTAGGTTTCAATTAAATGTAGGGGCTGAGCATGGTGGTGAGTGCCTATAACCCCAGAATTTAGAAGGCTGAGGTAGGAAGGTCACTGTGTGTTTGAAGCCAGCCTGGACTGCACAGTGCCTGAACTACACAGCGAGTGAGAACTACATAGCGAGACGCTGCCGCTAAAAAAGAGATAAATGTAGGAACCCTGTTTGGGTCATGGCAGGTACCATAGTGACAGTCACCAGTCATCAGTACAACCAGGGGGGTCACAGCCCTGTTCTTAGCTGACCTTGAAAACAGCTTGATTTACTAATTTGAAAATACTATACTCAGAGCTGGAAGAACCCAAGCACTGACATGCTCATCTGTAGGCTCCCAGGGTGCAAGCAAAGCATGCAGTTTACCTGTGATTGTTTATTGTAGTGCTAGTGATCAAACTCAGGGTTTCCTTCATACTAGACGAGGGCTCCTACTGCTGAGCTATACTCCAGTCCCTACCTATAGTTTATTTTTAGCATGTTCTATTTCATTTTCCTTCAAGAAGAAATTAGCAAGTACTTAGTAACTTTTTAAATATAAAAGCACCAAAGAGAACAAATTCTGTTTTCTACCTCTGCTTTGAGTTCTGGAGCTGCTGAGTGGACTCACAAACTGCAGAGACTTGACTCACAAACCACAGGGAATCTCAGCACACAGACCTAGGCCACAAAGCCACCAGCTGCCAGGTCAGCAGCTCCTGGTGACCAGTGCTTGACAGAGGTCAAGGAAATAAAGGCCAGAAGTCCCAGCAACCCCTGGGCCCAGAAGAGGTGGGTGAAACAGTGTCCCCTTACCTCCTGCTCCGGAGGGAGTGCACACTGCTGCACGATGTACTCGATCATCACCTCTCCTCCAGGCTGCTCCAAGTATCCGTGGTGGGCCATGGCGCTGATCACTTGGACCACTGCCCGTTTTACCTGTCCAGAACCAACAAGAGATCAGGAAGGGTCTACAGACACAGACTTCCATGCCAATCCAACCAGTAACAAGAACCTCTTTCCTTCCCCCATCCACACCTGTACCTGCACCTGCATCACATCTGTACCTCTGCCTGCACCCATATACTTGGACCTACACCTCTACCCACACCTATGCTTGTACCCATATACCTCAATCTGTACATGCAAGTGTACATACACCCACATCTATTATCTACACTCATACCTGTACCAGCACCTGCACCTACACTAGCACATGTACCTACATCTAAACCTGCACCTGTTCCTGCTTAACTATGTCAGGAGTACAATGTAGGAGTGTTAGGTATACTTTAAACCCATGTCCTTTCCTCTGTGTGTGTCCCACCTCCTGGTGTGGTACAGCACTTCTGGTCCTGTCTGAGGCTCTTAGCTCCCTAACAGCAGCCTCTGGCCCTCTTGTGGGCATGTGCAGGTCTTCTTTTTCTCCTGTCCCCCACACCTCTCCCGCTCCTGCTGGGCTCCTCAGAAGTTATCTCATGAGTTTCCTTCCCCTACCCACTTCTATCAAGCTTCACCAAGTCCATGAAAGCAGCTCTGAGGAAAAGCCTGTCCCAAACTACCCTGCCTTCTAGTCTCCTGGACACCAGACTCACCAGCTTCTAGTGCCAAATATGCCCATCCCCTCTGCCTAGCATCTGCCTAACCTTCGGCTATAAAGCTGCTGCGCTTCAGGGCTGGCTTTTCTTGTGTGACAACCATACTTTTTCTGAGGTACACCTTTACCCTGACTGCTTCAATTCTCAGGCAACTGTCCCTGGGTCTGTAGTTGTCAACCAAATGCTCCTCAGAGTTCTCAGCTACATGTCCAGCCCACTCAGTAACAACCACAGGACTCAAAGGTATGGCAGATCTAACATGGCGAGTCTCTCTCCGTCCCAGCCAGCACTTTATACCCCAACCCTATTGCCACTGAGACTCTGCCCCAGTCAGCCCTGTGCGTATGCTGACCACCACCTCCAGGAGCCTTCTCCCCTTCCTGGGAATACCAATATTTCTTGGGGGCAGGGGGGCACACTCAAGTCAACTATTACTGATTTAAGGAGGTCTCCTCAGACCATTCCCAGCTCTTCATTCCAAGACATGTGTTTGGTGTGGTTGTCCAACAGGGTGGGTCTTGGTTGGCAGTTGACTGCCTCAGCTCGGTGTGCATTTGCCCACTGAATATTGCTGGTATCATACCACTTGGGCCCTGGTGATGAGCTGCAAGGTTCTGTTGGGGGTATGTCAGGGAAATGTCCCTGAACGTGAGAAGGGTCTATGGCATGTCAAGTGACATGTCAAACTTCTGGCGAGTGTAGGAGGATTCACAGGAAGTCTTATGGACTAGACACAGGGCCAGCACAAAGACTGGAGTGGCTCCCAGAGAGGAGCTGACCCCTACCATCCCCTGAGAAGCAGAGCTTCCCCAAAAGCTACGCATTGTCAGCCTGGTGCAGTGAAGGATCTACCTTGCCCAGAGGTACCAGCCTCTACTCTTGGCTCCTTGGAGGCCACCTCTAAGCCCTTAAGATGTTCTGGAAATTCACTGATTTGGTGCTGCAGATCACTCCACAAGGTCCACTGACGTGATTCGGGTAGGGGCTTTGGGTCACAAGGCATCAGCTAGCTCTTCAAGATGGGCTAGAGGCTAAGGTAGCCATCTGGGTGGCCTAGCAGCTCCACACAAAAGGGCTCTAGTAAGGCGCAGAACCCCAAGGCTGAGGAGTGAGTTTGGTTCATGCATGTGGTCAGATACTGCTGCTGAGGAGATTAGCCCCATAAACACAACAGCAAGTGGTGGGTCTGGACCACTCCTGGACTCTATCCCTATGCCTCTCCCATGAGCTGACATAACCTTTACCCTGTAATAAATGATCCCGGATTATAACAGCTTCCTGCGTTATCCCACACCTTCCAGCAAATGGCTGAGCCTGAGGGAAGTGCTGGGGAGCCCTGAGCTCACTGCTGGCAACAGCAGCGAGGTGGTTCAGGGGATAACTCCCTAATGGCATGCCTGGTTAACTATGTCAGGAGCACAGCACAGGAAAGTGCCAGGAACACACTTTAAACATGTGTCATTTTTATGTGTGTGTCCCAGCTCCTGGTGGAGTGGGGCACTTCTGGTCCTGTCTGGCCATTCTTCCTACAGTTGCTCATGTGGAGCCCAGGCAGACCTGTCCAGTTTACCTTGTTGTTGGTGTCCTGCAGAGGAAGCCTCATGGAAGAGAGGATGAAGGGCTTCTTTGCTTCCATTTGAGCAGCTGTGAGGAATGAAATGGCTCAGTCACCAAGACCAAGACCAGCTCTCCCATCCATCTCCACCTTGAGGTCTAGGCCACACTCCAGGGTTCTGGCCTCATCTGGCCCTCCATGTGGAAGAATAGGGCAGAAGCCTACTGCTCTCTAGGGAACAGATTATTATTTTCCCCCAAATAACATTATTTAGACAATTAAAAAGTTAAAAGGTTGGCAAGTTAGGGAAATAGGTTAAAAACAATGAGCCCGAGAGCTGGGCCTGATGGCACCTGTCTGTAATCCCAGCACTCTGGAGGGTTGAGCCAAAAGAGTCACAAATTTGAGGCCAGCTTGTGCAATTTAGTGAAACCCTGTCTCAAAATAAAAGGTCAGAGATATAGCTCAGTGGTAGAGAGCTTGCCTAATATGTTTGAGGCCCTGGGGCTCAATCCCCAGCACTATCATACATACACACACATACACACACACACACACACACACACACACACACACACACAATTTGGCTGGGCATATGGCACACACTTGTAACTCCAACAATCTGGAAGGCTGAGGCAAAAGGATCACAAGTTCAAGCCCAGCTTAGGCAACGCAGGAAGTTCAGAGCCAGCCTGAACTACATACATAGTGAGACCCTGTCTCAAAAAACAAACAAACAAACAATCCAAAACAAAAACAAAAAAAACCACAGCAAAATTCTTCTGTTGGGGGAAGTCACCCTGATCACCCTGAGAGGGGCCTGAGTGTTGTCAGTGTTCCCTGGTTCTTCATTGGGATAGTGAATGCATGGGCTCATTATATGATCACTCACTGAATTAAAACCTGTACATTTTTTGTATATGAGCTATACTGTGAAATAAAACTTTAAAAATCACATAGATCTATATGTGCTGATATTAAAATTTCTCTAAGATGTATCACAAAATGAAAAAAAATATAATAAATGGTTACTTGGTCTATTTCTTGCATCACACACTTTTGTATGTAACTGACTGCACAAAGAAAAAAACTTCAAGGAAAAAATAAAATACAGGTGAATTTGAAGTGACTTCTGAAAAGCTTAAGTGCAATTTAAGAAATACCACAGGAGAGGTGAGCCTGGTTAGTTACATAACACTGTTGAACCTCTGAATGGAAAAAAGGCACGTTTAACAAAAACACCAGCTCCAAGAATTCCCCAAGAATTCCATTTCTGATACCTCTGGGCCACTGTCCAGATGAACCCCTGAGCAAAGTACTCCATCCTTCTCAATCCCAAATTCTAATGCCACACAATTTACACGGTTACCAGGGAACTGTGGACTGATACAAAATGCTGATATGGCAGAGATATCTTACTTTCCATCAGGCATCTGAAGTTCTCTTCCCAGAAGAGCCAGCGCCCCCTACAGCAGGCCCAGAGCAGCAGGCCCAGGTGGTCTGTGGCAGGCACAGGTGCAGGCACAGCTGTACCCAGCTGAGGGAGCCACGTTCTGCAGTTTCCCCAGATTCCTGGCTTGGGGGCACAATCTAGACTGCAGTCTAGCTGCCACTGTCCTCCCTGGCCCCCACCTCATCAAAAGCTGCTCCTTCTGCCCACCACACTGGAAAGACTGTTGCCCATGCAGCATAGGTCAGCACATGTGTACCAGAACAAGTTAGCTAGCAGGTAATTTTGGCTTTGTAGGACATGTGTCAGCTATGTCACCTATTTTTCTTGCCTACTTTTCTTTTCTTTTTTTTTTTTTTTTTTTTTTTGGTTTTTCTCCGGTACCGGGAACCGAACTCACGACCTTGCGCTTGCCCCTTTTGCCGCTGAGCTAAATCCCCAGCCCCCTTGCTTACTTTTCTAACCTATTTAAGATACTGCTTTAGCTTGCTGACTGTAAGCTTAGTGTGGCCCACAGTCATTGTATCCCGGCCCCTACAGGAGGACGTGAGTAAAATTCACCAAAAATACACATGCACATGTTAAACCCACATGTTAAACAATGAACACTTTTTCAAACTTATTGCTAATTAAATCAGCCTTAAAAGCAAGAAACCTAAATCCTTCCATTCCATTATGAGGACACCATCAGGCACAGATACTCCAGGAATACCCTACAAAACTGGCATCAATTCTGAAAGAAAAAAGGGACCCTTCTTCATAAATGGAGTCTGGGTATACCTTTGATAAACTCAAGTGAGGGAAGTGAGCTACATCACACAGCATGTGGCCTATGAGGCTCTATAAGGCACTGGTAGGGTGCTCACAGTGGGGAGAACACAGGGTGGTCATCCCAGGGCTTATGGAAACCAGGTTTCTGGAGCCAGCTACATCAATGATTGAGGCCCAGTAAAGGCTAATGCGTCCTATTCTTGCAATTTTAAAAAAAATGTGTAATTTTGCAAAGTAGAAAGGTGGGAATTTTTTTTTTTTTTTTTTTTTTTTTTTTTTTGAGGCAGGGTCTCACTCTGCAGTTCAGGCTGGCCTTGAGCTCACTTTGTAGCTCAGGCTGGCCTCGAACTCACAAAGATCCTCCTGCCTCAGCCTCCCCAGTGCTGGGATTACAGGTGTGTACCACCATGCCTGGCTGAAATTTTTTCTAAGAACTAGAAACAAAAGCTGCATGAAGGTCAGGTGTGGTGGAGCACTCCTGCAATCTGAGCACTCTCCTGTAATCTCAGCACTCGGGAGACTGAGGCAGGAGGATCACCATGAATTCAAGATCAGCCTGAACTACACAGTGAGAACTTGTGCCAAAAACAAACAAATGAGAATTAAAAGGATGACGCTACCTTTTACTTGAAAGATGGACTCTACCAGACGTTAAACACAGTATGAGTGGCCAGCCTACGGGTGTGAAGGGTACTCACCAGCTGAGTTAATGACATGCCTCAAGATGTGCAGGGTGCCCACGCGGAGCCTCTCGTTACTGGTGTCCAGCCTGGGTAGCAGAAAGGCTAGTAGGCGGTCAGGTGAGCAGCGCGCTACAGAGCAACACACATATCAGGCCCTGTTTCCAACAACCTCTGTTCCCTCTTGCTATGCGCCTGCACCTCCAGCTCCTGAGGGCTGGCCTGGGATCTGTCAGTCTTGATCATCCTGTGTCCAGAGACTCCCAGCACCAAGAAAGAGCAGACTTGCTGTGGGTACTATGGCAAGCTGGAACTTCCTGACCAGCCAGCTTTGCATGATGCCCTCCCAGGAGTATACATCTCAGGTAAGGGGCTAGAGCATACATGGCCTCAGCCAAGTTAGGTCAGCAGCACCCAGAGCACAGGAGACTCAGATCCTTGACCCATGAAGATCTGTATCTCATTTCAGCTTCTCAAACTCATGGAGAGCCCTCATGGGGGCCCTCAGTACCCTTCTTGCCTCTGGGACAGTCTGTAACTGTAGCACTTGGATCCCCAACTGCATAGAGGTAGGGCAGTCTAGGCCTCCAGGCACTGCCAATGGAAACCTTGCAGCAATGACCTTGGCCTTTACAAATTAGCGCCATCAACAGTAAAGTTCAGCCTGGGTCTATGTTGGACCTGCTGTCCCACCTACCACATAGAGCCAGTCTGATCCCTTCCCTCCATGCTCCAGGTAGATGGTGACTTGCTGACCCTGACTGGCTGACAGACCTCACACTTCTGCCTTCCCCTTATCAGACAGGCAGACCCTGAGCAGTCATGGGTACAGAGACAGGGCTGGCAGACCAGGTGACCACCAGATTCCAGCAGGTACAAATGACAAATGACAGCCCCTCTAGCTGGAGTCAGGTAATGCTGAACCAACAGCCACATGCTGACCAGAGGACAGGACAGGGCAAGAAGAGCAGGCTGTGTGTGGGGCAGGGACAAAACATGGACCGTGAGACAGAAGCCTGGGAAGGACAAGACAGTGGTAACAGCATCTATGTGGAGACCAGGTGCTTGGACTGTACATGGATCCAGGCTGAGGCCTTTGGAACTTTAGGCAGAGGTGGAAAAGAGGTATTCTGCCATTACCACTGTCCTCTACATGCCAACAGACATGGCCCAATTGTGTCCAAGGCCTCCGTGTGTGGATACCACCTACACTTACCCAGCACAGTGAAGCAGCGCAGTACCTCATTCCGGCTGCCCATCACCAGCGGGCTTGAAGACTCCACAGGCACACAGACCTGCTCCAGAGAACAAAGCAGAAGTTAGAGGGACAGTGCTCATTGCTATCCTGGGGTCTGACTGGGCTGGAAGGACACACATGCCTGGAAGATGATGGGCTATGCAGCTGTGCCCAGAATTCCAGGCAGGTCATTCTCCAGGCCTTCCTTATCCAGGATTGGAGACACCCAGGCCATGGTTGTAGGACCCATGTCCCCTCATCAGGTGCTCTGGGGACCAGACCAGCCTCTTGCAGTTGGGGAAGGGAAGGGAGAGACAGCACCACAAGGACACATCGTTGGCCCTCAAGTCTCCAGAGAAAGGCCCTGGGCACCTTCATAGGAGAAGGAGCAATAGGAGAACTGTCCCCACAGGACATGTCCTCATTAGAAAGGAGACAGTTTTGTAGTGGCACATGACTGTACTCAATTCTTGGGAGGCTGAGGCAGGACTGTCACAAGTTCCAGGCCAGTCTCAACTATACAGTGAGTTCAAGGCCAGTCTGAACTATATAGCAAGACCCTGTGAAAGAAAGAAAGAAAGAAAGAAAGAAAGAAAGAAAGAAAGAAA